AAAAAAAAAAAAGGGAGTAAAGGCAGTGATAATCAACATGCAGTACTGTGCAAATAGGTCGTCCATTGGAATCCTTAAATTCTGGGCAGAGGCTTGGTCTGCAGCTTAGACGCACATGCTCAGTTGGGTGTCCTCGGTGTCCCACGTCGGCAGGACGGCAGTTCAAAGTCTGCTGCTAAAAGTGAATCAGTTTAGCAAATTTACAACACTGATGTTGACTGTTAGGAGAGGAAAATCCCAAGTACCAAACAAGTCCATCCAATGCACAGAGTACAAATTCCTTTTTTCAACAAAAAGTAGAAAAATCAAAAATACTCCCAAATGGGATTCTTGATGGCACTCAGAGTTAACACGTTTCAGAGTTGTCCGAATGGAGTGAAAATCCTCCAGACTGTACAACAAATGGAGAACAATTTCACTGCTGACTTTTGACGTGTTTTCCCCCCCCCAATCTTCGTTCTTGGGGTTGGCCTGCCCAGAGACGCTCACTCCATGTCCTCATTTACGGGTTCGTCTTCGTAATCTCGGTCGTGGTCAAAATCTGGACTGTGGTTGGCTGTTGTCACTAAGGATAGAGGCCCTTCAGCTTCCTCTGGATCGAGGGGCTCTTCTTTGACGTGCACAGGATGCCTGGAAGGAAGGAAAACAGCTTCACTTCACGGAAGGCCCTTCCCGACCAGGGCAAGTTGGGGGTGGGGGCAGCAAAAGCCTCCCTAGATGGAGGACTGGGTGGTGGCTATTTAAATTCAAATGAATGAAAACTTCATGCCATTTAAAATTGCGTTTCTCAGTGCCACATTCCAAGTGCTCAAGGGCCCCGTGTGGCCCGTGGCTACCATACTGGATGGCAGAGAGAGAAAAATTTCCATCAGGGCAGAAGGTTCCTGTGGGGCAGTGCTGTTCTAGAACAGTCCCTGGCCAGAGCAGCCTCTCCCGCAGGGGTGCGTTTCACACTTTAAAGCGCACTCAGATCACCTTGCGCTCCTGTTAAAGTGCCGCGTGTGTCTCAGCAGGGGTGGCATGGGGCCTGAGACTCTGCATGTCTGACAAGCTCCCACGCCATGCTGCTGGTCCGAGGAGGACCATACTCCGAGTACCAGATAACAGGCCCCGCAGGGGCATCCTGGGTGGAAGAATACAAATCTTGGAAGAATTACGTGAAATAAGAATCTGCACTACAATGGTGTTTTGTGGGGACCACAGAGTGCGGGAGGCTGGGCTAATCATGGCTTGCTGTGTGTTCTGCTTTGCTAGTTAACATGCAGAACCTGTGAAAGAAGTCTCCAGAGACCGACCCCAAGCGAGGTTCTATCATTAATCAACTTCAAGCAAACACAGCAAAGAGACACCATGATACATGCTTGAAACTCCAAATTAATGCATATTTTTACAAACTGTCAATAAGGCGAGAAAAGCCCTGCCAGGAAACACAAACGGAGAGGAAAAGGCTCGCCCAACACAACAATATGATAAGAAAGCAGAGCCCCAATCAGAATAATAACGCTGTCAGCTGTAAACAAGGCAAAACAAGAGGCCCGGCTGGTAGCGGCCACCGGGACGCCGTAGCCTGTGACGAGATCTGCCAACTTTCTCATTATGGACCCGCACAGGGTTCACCTGAAGGGGACTGCGGGGGATCACGCGAAACCACGGGGATAACAATTGAGAAATGTTGTTCGTAAATCATATTTACAACCGATCCTTTGCAAATACAAATTACTTTCTGTTGCAAGCCTTTTGATATGTAAAAGAACCATTCAAGTTAAAATGGTCCCATCGCTGGGACAAGCTGCAGAAGGGAGGATTTTTTAATTGACATTATCAAGTATTAGTAATAAGAGGTGGTACTGGGGATGGCCGACTTCCTAAATAATTGATGTACGCAAACCCCAAAGGCCACTCGAACCATTTAAAAACAAACAGGAGTGCTTTGGACTGCCCTTGATGATGTGAACCTTCAGAAAACCAATTGACTCTAAAATTAGCACAGCCTAGAGAGGGTTTGGGGGTAGATGTCAGGGTAAATAGCTTTTAAAAAAATGGTGCCCATGTTCTTCAAAATGATTTGCAAAACGAAATTTATCGAAGTTGTAATACAGCCCATTTGACGGGTCGTGCTCCGTCTTGTTTTAGTTTCTTTAATGGTCCTACTTATTTGTGTTTGTACAGTAAGGCCGAGGAATGGCTGTGTAATTGAAGAGCCCCCGTGAAAAGTGAAGATGGGGTTCACAGATCAGTAGGAACTTCAATAAGGAAATGGCAGAGCATTGAAACCTCCCAGGATACCTGTGAAGGTAGCCCTCGGAGGAAACCCTCTATTCTTCTGGGAAGAAATTAGGTGCAGTGACGATGACCCCTTTAGAAAACAATCACCCAAAATCCCAAATTAAGGTAGGTTTTTTGTTTTTGCCTATTCTCTCCCATGGGGGTAATATTTTTACATACTGCATACATAATGGAAATAAGATTATTTTGCTAGCTTTTTCAGTTGTAATTTTTATGGCTGTATGAGATCCCTTGTGCGGACCCATCAGTCCCTTAATACTGGGTGTTTCGTGACGGTCTTTTTTTTTTTCTCCTTTCTTTTGCTCTTTGAATAATAGAGTAACCACTTTTATCCATTAATCTTCCTATTTCTGCTGATTTACCTCCTCAGGATAAATTTCTAAGAATGAAATTCTGGGAGCAAAGGCCAAAAACATCTTTATGGTTCTTATGATTTATTATAGTATTAATTTCCAAAGGGGCTGTATCAATTTAGATTCAACTTCATCAGCTCCAAGCATGACTTTTATTTTTATTTAAAGAAAAAAAAAATTTTTGTTAATGTTTGTTTATTTTTGAGAAAAAGAGCCTGAGCGTGGGAGGGGCAGAGAGAGAGGGAGACACGGAATCCGAAGCAGGCTCCAGGCTCTAGGCTCTGAGCAGTCAGCAAAGAGCCCTTTGCGGGGCTTTAACCCACAAACTGCGAAGATCATGACCTGAGCTGAAGCCGGATATTCAACTGACTGGGCCACCCAGATGCCCCCCCCAAGCGTTACTTTAAAATATTTTGTTGCTTAGCAAGTGTAAGGTAAGCGCAGGTTACTTTAAATTGCGCTTCCTGGATCACTGACAATGGTGAACGTTTCTTCATATTTCAGTATCATATTTTCACTATTCAATAGCAGTGTTACTTCACAAATTACCCCCTCTTCTCCACTGATTCACGTTTGGCAAGAAATGTATCTGTGTGTTACCAAGTCCTGTATTGAAGTTCACTGTAGTATCCTGGATCATCGTTTTCTCACTTTTCCTTCTTTTATGCTTAATTATTCATCTATTCAGGTTTATAAACCTGAATTTGAGTTTGGGAGGGGGTGGGAAGACTGAGAAATAGAATATTCTTGAGGAAGTTCTTGCTTTGTAATTTTTGACTCTGACGACTGTTTCGCTAGGCACAAAAACAAACCAGATACAGTGTAAGTCTCCCCAAACACAGGTCACGTTAGAGAATATTTTGTTTGCCCCTGAAAATTGCAGCTGAAGTCAAGTATGATTATTGACCAACCCCAAGACACAGGTTAAGACCCTATCGTGCATGCTGGCTTGCCCCAGTGCCTAATGCGGAGCCCGTCCCCGACAAATGCTAGCTCACTGACGAGATCTGTGTGACAGCCTTGACAACACAACTGAGTTAGATATTAAGGCTCCTTAAAGCTCCAGAGAAATGCAATCCAGCCTCACAACATTTCTTCGTACCAGCAGATCCCCCCCGAGTGTGGCAAATGCAGTCACACGGGCATATGGCGCTTCAGAGAATCCAAGAGAATGGATTTCCAAGCAAGATACATTTCAGGTGAGATGCAAACTATTTAAGATACTATTCTTCACATACAAGTGCGTGTCTCCTGGAAATCGGAACTGCATGGGTGCGCCATCTTGCACGTCACCCCGCTGCCCCACGTTTCTCTCCATCTCCTACTTGCCAAACAGTTCCCGATGGAAACTGTGTGCAAAACCACACACTTCCCTTCTTACATCTGAGTAATTCCTTTGTTTAGCCACTCTGGGAACATGACAGTTTTTAACTAAAGCTGACTGGTGTTTAGAGGCATTGTGTTCTGAGGGTGTGTGCACAGCATGGAGTATTTTGCTTTGTAGCTCCGTTAGTTCCTATCGGGCTAAAAGTATAATGCCCCAAAGCCATAATTATGGGAGTACTTTCTAGTGTTTCAAAGGGGAAACAAAATGGGGTAGTAGTGGAGTGTCACGGGAAGGGTAAGAACGGGGAGCTCGGTTTCAACACTAGATCGAAGCTTGGGCTGCCGGTCCTAACAAGGTTCTTTAAGCCACGCTATAAAGTTTACAGCTTGATTTATTCCAACAGACTAGAACAGTTAAGAAGCCATTTGCATCATAGCCGGGTAATGCATACTGCACAAGAAGGAAAACTGTGTCATTACAGAAGTCGCTTAATGGAAACAGAGGGTCAAAAAGAGTAACATTCTGTGACACTGGGAGCGGGCACAAGGGCGATGCTGTTAACACACAATTATATTTAGCAAACAGCGCAAACCGGGGAGATGTGAGCAACGGCGTGCGTCATGACATCTGTACACAGGGTTTCCTTAAACACAGCAGAAAACAACGGAAACCTTCATTTCGTTAAAAATTAAGCCGCTTGTGATAGATGGTTTCTGGTAATGCTGGGGTTCATTCAAAGTTAGGAACTTTGGAGGGGCTTTATCTCGTACAGTAAAATTAGCATCATTCTCCACTGTTGCCCGAGGCTCTGATCCAAATATCTTTCTCTCTTCAGTAATCCTTTGCACTACGTTAACAGGAATGTAGATCCACCAGCCCTTTGGAGTGCAGATAGATTGTGAGGAATAGTCTCTCTCCCAACCAGTAACTTCGGATATATTTGCTTTAATGAGTATTGCTTGAAGCGGCTTATATACCAATTTATGTTTGCTCTGAACTTCCTTAATATCTGAGTAAACACTCCTGTCAGGACAATGATTTAAAAACGAACACGAGTGTGATAACAATAAAGTCGGGAGCACCAGATTGCTTTAGAAGAGGTGATGTGTGGCAGAATCAGTGTGAAAGACAAATGCATTCTTGAAGTGTTGTGTACTAAATGGGAAGAGATGGTTCCTGTAAATTAAAAACGATTATTTCCATCTTTAAAGATCCTTTTCAAAGCTCTTTGGGCATGACATTCAAATGCTAAATAATCAAATTTCAGATTCCCCTCGAACCTACCCATTTCCCTGGCAGACAGCCTTTTTTCTTTTTCTTTTTTTTCCCTGCTGTCATTAGATGCCAATTCATTCTGTTGCTAATCGCTCCAGGTCATACTATCACTCAAATTACCTTAAAATAAGATGTGGGTCAAGGAATTCACAAACAGGGTGTAGACAAGGGGCCGATTCCAGGAGCTGGCAGTCCTGGAAAGGCTGGATTGGTTTGTCCCTTTAAAGGGGGCAACGGTTTAGCAGATGTTTGGTAAGAGATAGAGATGGCCACTCCCTGGCATCCCCCGCAAATCCAATCACTTGGAAAAACGTGGGGTCTCTTGTCTTTGCAGCCTTCCTGAGCGGAGAGGGAGCTCTTCCTCCTCGGGAGGCATCGGAGCCTCTCGGGAGGACTGCCCAGTCCCTGTGCTGTTCGCATTCAGCAAGGATAACCATCGCCCATCACTTGATTCAGTTATACGGTGCTCATTATACTGCCGTCTGCTGCTATAATGCTCCTATTAATTTTCCTTTTGATATTTTAAAGCAATCTATAAATCAGGCCGCCTTGCATTTGTGCCGTCGTTAATGCTTGGTCATCACGCTTGAGCGTGGTGTTGGCGGTCCGGACTATCACAACCAAGTAAACAAGCACTCTTTCTCCCCCTGCCAGGTTCGGCACACCGGCAAGTTGAACAAACTCACAGAGACGCATACTGATTTTAGGAGGAAAAGGTAATGTGGCTTAAATAATGGCCTGAGATGCCAAGCAGAGGGAAAAAAAAAGCAAATGAGTCACCCATTTTATTGCCGTGTGCACTTGTAGGGCTGCATGAAGCTGATTGCTTTTATGGGAACGTTAGTATAAATGGTCCTTTTATGTGCTAACCGAGCTAAACATTTCCAGAAGCACCAACTTCTACCTAGGTTCTAGGAAAGCAGAAATTACAGAAAGGGTCTAAAAAGCAGCTCGAGAAGAGTTCGTGTGCACATCGCATGCAGAGACCTTCTGGGCGTGGACAGTACTCACACAGCTTGCATAGGGGATCTGCCCGGACTGCTGTCACTCTCGTTGCTGTTGGTATGCTCCATTGCCCCGTTCAGCTCTTCCCGTATGGCGCTGGCTAAGTTGCCCAGAGTGGGATTTCCCATGGAAGCGGTAGTGTATAGAGGTATACTATTCTCAGCCATCGAAGCCTGTTAGCAACCGAGAGAAAATGTATGAGGACGCAGAATATGCACAGACAGGGAAGCTGTTAATTAGGGGCGTATTCAAGGATCTTCCGGGTACGTTCATCGTGTGGCCGGCAAATGCAACTTTCGAACAGGTGTAAAAGGATTCTGCTTTAACATTAAGACTTGTGACACATGTCCCAAGCTTGGTTTCCAAGAGCTAGCTGGGACCAAACCGCTCAAGGGGAGGGAAGGCTCAATTTAGCCCTGCTGGGTAGAGTCACACGGTTTAGACAAGGCTATCTAAAATGAGCTTTCTGTCTGATGCCTTCCTTCAAGAGGGACTGAATATTTCCAGATCACAGGGAAATATAATGGAATTTTCATTTCTTTATCCACTTTGATGACTCCAGTATTGGATATTAAAGATTTGATCCAATTATTCTGGCCGCACAGCTCAAACTTATGAGAACTTCCATAAACATTTACCTCTTAGATCCTAGAGAAAAGGAAGAGATTATAGAATTGGAATCAATTTTTATCCCCCCTGCCCGCATCATTTCTGTTTTAATAATTTTTGAATCTGTTTAGTGTAGTTTGCGTGGTGTTACCTTCGACCAGTTATCTCAATGTTTCAGACTCAGACCGGTCACCTGGAATTTTAGGACTAAAGAAAAAAAGATACCTGTCACTCCAAATGAGTGTCAGCAAAAAAAAAAAAAAAAAAAAAAAAAAAAAAATGTGTGGAATTGGAGAAAATAAGAAATCCCGAAGTCTGGTGGGGGGGATGCTGTTCACTTGCTATCCTCCTGCATTTGACAAAAATGACCACCCAGTCTAAAATGCAGCCGACAGTTACAGATGACCCTGGACTGAAGTATCCATATTGTTTCCTTGGGTAGCGATTATGACCCAGTAACTTTTCATTTCATTAAAGAGGGCAGACTTTCAAAAACTGGCAGTGTAATTAGACCAAGATTGATCAAAACTGTCCTCTTACAGACTACAGTATGCCTGGTTTTCCATCCTAATGAGGAAAAAGTACAATCACAAGACAATCTGGCACGGTGACTTCAATTGGCCAGTGATACAAGAGGCCAAAGTATTCTAGAAATCCTGGCTCTAGAGAGAGAGAGAGAGCCAAAAATGAAGACAGAACGGGTGCAGAGCTGGGCTGCAGGGAATGTGCCTATTATGACAATTGCAGCCTCCCTAACTGTACAAACTGCAAAGCCAGGAATGCCTTCTTAGATACAAGCCCCTGTGATGGGTCTTCACTTAATAGGGTGCTATTTCAAAGCCAAGCCCTCTTGCTGCAAGCCCACAGATTTCCCTTCTCTCCACTTCTGTATTTACGTAACTGCCTTCTTTTAAAAAGGGGGGGGGGGGGGATCCTGTTTTTATTTCCAAATGTGGTGAACTTATTTTGATGAACAGCGAATCTGAACATTCTCTGCTCTCCTACAGTTTGTTAAATAATTTGCATCAAGTACTTTTTTCAACAGATCTCTGGTAATGGCAATAAAGCATTTTTTTTTTTTTTTTTTGGCAGAGCAAAAATCAACAACAGTTGCCAGGTTGTTTTTTTTTTTTTCTTTCAAACTGCAGCTGGACAAGCATCTTAACTGCCTTTATTTGAGACAATGCAGTGGTCATGCCTCTCTTAATCATGGAAGTTCGCAGGGAACCATCAGCTCTCACAAGAGCATTTCACTATTACACAGTCAGAACCTGGTGCAACAGTTTCTCAAGTCAAAAACTGAGAGGTAAAGGCAAAACTGCAATGTTTGTAAGAATGTGTTCTGTGGGAGAAGCTGGTCACTCCATGGACAGAGCAACCTTCTTAAGATGATCTGCTCTCCTTGGCTCTCAAAGTGTTCTAGGTGAAGGTCATTAAAATATGGGCTGGGGCCCAACAGCTACAGCGGTGAAAGGCATCCAAAAGGCAGGCACTTGTACTGATCCCTTGGTTGTGAGACAAAAAAGATGTAAGTGAAGAAAACCAGCATTAATAACCTTTACGATAATGATCAAGTGGGCAGCAAAGAGAAGCTGGTGCCTGATATGCAGAGCTTCTTGTACATTCTTTGTTGACTGAGTGATCAAACCCCCCCCCCCC